AAGTGAAAACTGCTGGTGGTGTAGTTTTAAATTCGATCCTTGTGACCTAAACAAATGAACATTTAAAGTGTGTCATTCGACTTTCCAACGCTGTAAAGCCTGATATTTGGATGGAATGCGATCGTAGAATGCGCACAAACCAATAATCAAATCTACTCGATGGACGCAATGCTTCGAAGCCGTTGAAAAGAGAATGAAAATGTGATTGAAGCTAACGTTACGAATTTTACGGCGTTGTTGACGCTCATTCGTATCGTGAATTATTCCTTCATTCGAACTGGATGGCGTCGAAGTCACATCTTCGAATTCGAAATTCAACTATAACGTAGACAAATGAACAGAATCTGCTTGAAAGACAGTTACGAGGCGATTTCATTCCTTATATTCGTCATAAATCACAGGCATTCGAACTAGGACTATTTGATGGCTAATGAGAAGTCATCGAAAGTTCTGAGAGGAAGTGAATAACGATAAAATAGAGCTGAAGATGATGTTCAAAGATAATATGGACATTATGAACGAAAGGCACATCGACCGATATCAACGAACCTTTTCGGCCATCGCTTCCAGCAATAACGGCACATCCTCTTCTGGCACTAAACTAATTAACGAATGCCGCACCGGATTACCGTCACCAGCTGTCGTATTCTTAAAATGATGACTTCTTATATTGACGATCAAAACTTCCAGCAATACCATATCATCACGTCGTGGATCTCATAACTCGGACTTACCAACCAGGCAACATATAATTTGCCACCCTTATTTTTTAAAAATTTAGCGAGAGCGCCGTATTCCGTAAAACTTCTTCCTAACAAAGTTCTCAAGCGATACCAAAAAATCAGAGGAAAATCTTACAGTGAGAATCAAAACCACTCACAATAACACATCGAGAGTATCTCAAAAAACGGACATCCTTGCCACAAAAGAAATAGGCTTGAAAAAAGCTATTTAAGTGATCTAAAAAATTTTATTTATTCGGAAACCGTACCGAATAAGAAGACCTTATGCCGTTTAGTGGTTCGTCATCGAATGATACATTTTCAGCGACGCGCTGAAATTCATAAATCAGAATATTGGCAACCGAGTAAAGCGGTAGCACAGTGTAATCATTCATCCAACCTATCATTGAATCAGACTTTCAAAAATGGTACTCAAAACTGTTCTAAGCAAACGCCTTCGAGGAAGATAATTTGGTACTTTGCTTTTTGCGATATAGACCATTTTGTGGTCAATTCATGCATTTGCTTGAGTCAACTGAAAGAATGCTAACAGTCTGTTTTTGCATCATCTTATGAACAGTTAATGGCCGTTGCACCAGCTCTAACCTGTCTCGAAAATTTCTCGATCGTTGTTTGCACCAGACTGCCA